CGGGTCCTTCAAACGTAGTGTGAAGAAGCATTTGGCCAGACCGGCAAAATGATAGTGACGGAGTGAAGATATTTGTTATTTCCATCCGTTACTCTCATCTCTGGACTGTATTCGCACTTTCCATCAGGCGCGGTGCAGTCATTTTGCCGAGTCACAATAAAAAAAAAAAAAATAAATAAATAAAAAAAAACCCTGAGATATAAGTTGACAAGTCCTATGTGTCTGTAATTTCACCATTACCCTTGAAAGTCGGAACGCAGAATGCTCACATTACTGCTTGGCGGCAGAAATAGTTAAGCTGGCAGTACTTCATTGGACGAACCCGTTCACAAGGAACTCTACTGTATCTAAATCTATTTTGTATCTTGATTGTGGAATATGATTATGAAATAGAAATGCTGAACAATTTTGAATTTGACACACTCTTGTTCAACAATAAACACGTCTACGATATGTTGCATTTTTTAAACACCGAGAGAACGCATTCCCGAGAGAGAGAGACCGTTTGGGTTGCAACAAGGTGGTTACGAATATCACATTTGCGGAAAATCAGCATAGATTAAAATATCCGCCTCTGCATTCATCGATGCTGATATTTGAGTCGTGACATGACTTAAAAGGCACGGTGTCATACCTTACAAGCATTCCAGAAACAGACTGAAAGCCGAAAAAGCGGCTTAGATGTTGTTTCAAATGTAATTTTGATAAAATTCCAGAACGATTAAGATAGGCAGATTGATTGTTTTCATGTAGATTGATTCTTTTGTTAATAAATGTCACAAAATCATAGAAAGCTTTTAAGATAGGCAGGTTGATTGTTTTCATGTAGATTGATTCTTTTGTTAATAAATGTCACAAAAGCATAGAAAGCTTTTTGATATAGATAGATTCTGTAAGCATGTACATTTTAAGCGTTTTTTTTAGATACATAAAATCAGCATCCGTAAAAGACTTGCATCAGCAACAACCCTGCTCTGCAACGCAAGTGCATGCGTGTTGGATACACAATCCATAATTCCGTACATGGCGCGCGGCAGACGTGCACACATACAAACCGCGCTGCTACGTTTGCTTGGAGTTACCATAGTTATACTATGTCATTAGTATGACTTATTCAAGTACTGTACCTCCCTTCATACCAGCAATTGGTTCATTGTGATCATCATTAATTACAACTCCAAGGTCGACATAATTAAATATCTGTTTAGATTATAATATAATTGTTGTGTTTATATGTGTATTATAAGTAAAAGTTCTTTGGGGGTATCGAGATAGGGTTGGTTGGAAGTGTTCTTTTTTAAACATAATTGTAACATGTAATAAAATATGCTTGACAACCGCATCAATTACGTCTTAAACTAGGGGATTAAATGTACTATGAGTACTGGAGCAACGGAATTCACTCCGGGGCACTACCCGCACTTCTTCCAATAAGTCTTAAAAATAAATAAATCTTAAAAAAAATAATCTTCTTAAAATTTTCTGAGCTCCGATAGTTTTTGTCTCCTCTGGGGGTCGTTTCAGATAAGTCGGTAACTCAGTTGTCGACCGATTTCTTTTCATTTTTATTCACAACACCCGAATCGAACGTCAAACTGTCGTATTCGAAACCGACCCCAAATGACGACACTTCTCGAACGGCAAAGGCTACAGACGTTATTCCGAAGACAGTTATCGAATGAAAGCTACCGAACGTCCTTTTGTTTACAAAGCAAGAATGTAATATGGAAGTCTCTTATTATTTTAAATAGAGAACCCGGATTTTGGTCAATTTTATTAATTTATTTTAATGCAAGACTAATGCATACCTATACGTTAGGCCGATTAAAGACTTAAAAATGTATATAAAAGTATTTTCGCTTTTCTTATAATCTATTTCACCGTAAACGCTGTTGGATAACAACATCGTATCCGAATCCAAATCGAAAGTTTAACCCGAATGTTCTGAATATCTGGGAAAGCGCCCTTCGATTCGAGAACGATATCCAATTGAACGGTTGGGTTAAAATATCGAAGAGTTCTGAATCGGGGTCCTGACCACAGGTCAGCCTGTGTACAGGGTTGTCACAGACCTCTGTCACTTGACGTCATCCGGTTCGCGAAAGGCTAGTGCTTCGGGTGAGCCGTACCCCCAACTTTACAGATAGGATATGCTTTTCTTACAAGGGCATCTCGGCTTTGACTCGCTACAGTTGCGTAGGTTCCTCGCGCTGGCCAAATTTGGTGTCAATATTATTCGCGGTAAAATTGACTCCGCCTATTTACTGCAGCACTTGCTAAGGCTGTTTGTGCCGGATGAGTACAGGCGCGTGCGACACCACATGCTGCTGGCGCGGGGCCTGGCGCGCACGCAGGCACACCGAAACACACCGGTGCTGCCCGCCATCACGCTCCTCAACTCCGTTCTCGAGGCGGCACCTCACTCTGATTTGTTTGACAGCACGATTGGATGTCTGATGTGTGAATGCAGGAAAGTGTTTGAACCATTGATGCCTGTGAGTTCAATCCTGTGAACTGTATTATGTTTATTTGTTTGTATGTTATTTGATTTTTTTTGTTTGTTGTTTTTGTTTGTAGCGATTTGGATTTATCTGTAAAGCTACAAATGTTAAATGAATAAATAAATAAATAGGTACCGGAGCTGTAGGCAAGCTCACTTTTCGTTGCGCATTACACAACTAGCGGTTGCCACCACTAAGGAGGAATTAAAATGTTCTAAGCTCCGATAGTTTTTGTCTCCTCTGGCCGGGTAGGAGTTCGGCCAGGAGTAAGTTTCGTATTGCTAATCGTGGTACAAGACAGCCTAGTCGGGTATCTAGTATCGACGAGTACCAAATAGCTATTTTTGTAAGTAAATAACTGACGAACTACGATATGTTATAAATTATTAATACAAAGATCGAACACTATTCTCGAATTCCAATTTCTTTATAATGGCTCCATCGATTTTCACGATGATTTTGCCAATGTCAGGGTTGAAGAAGACACTTATGTTGGTGTGACTATGTACGGTTGGATAACCGGAGATCCGTTGGGTACGATGGGAATCTAAAAAGGAACAACACAAATTAGACATTCACATCACTTGCATATATAAGATATAAAATAAAAGGGATTAAAAGTAAAAAATAAAAGTTTTAAGACATGCGTGATTATTCATTAAATACAATTTTCTTAATGAGAATGGGTTTATAAATGTATGATATTATACTGTAACTACATTTTAGACAGAAAATAGTTTTTAATAGACAAGGTAATTATAATTTAATATATAGTTGGTTTCGATAAATTTGGACAGGGTATTTATAAAAGGACTGACACTATACTCTGTCCAACAATTTATTTATCTTTTGACAGCTCGAAATCTAATCAATTAGTGATGTCCTAATGCGTGGCCAATTCGATGTTTTTATGACAATCGATTTTATTTATGAAGAAGTTTTAAAGAAGATGTTGTGTACCTACTTTGGAATTAATGTTAAGGATGATTCAAGTGATGATTCCCGTTCATATGGAGAAGAATCCGACGATTCATTTTAATAAACAATAAGAATTTATTATAATTATTTATAATTTATTTAATTTCACCATAATTAATTAGACAGGTACCAAACTTTTAACTTAATAATCTTCGTTACATAATCTGTTGGCTCGATAAATATCTGAGTTAAAGAGCACGTCGCTTTACTAAAATTAAAAAAAATACAAGAGTCCAGGAAATATTTAATTTTTTCGTTTATGGTTGTATGTCAATAATTACGAAACAGGCATGCATATGCCAAAAGTTAATAAACGGTTAGACGGAGTATAGTTTAGAATACATCCCTTCGATTCGAGCCAACGTCTTCTAGCAAACCGTGTCAGACGCCATGCCAACTAAGCCACCAATCAACAACCAATGATATGTTAATTCCAAGTACCTTTGCGTATGCTGATGACAGCACAGTTGTAGATAGATACTTGACCAATGCAAGGGTCAGTGGAGAGGAAATCCAGTCTTGTCGAGAGTCCATGGTTAGCCATTTATATTTGACACTCCAGGCAGTCTCCGATTGGGGCAATGCCAATCTTGTCAAATTTAACGCTACCAAAACGCAGGCGTGTCTATTCTCCACAAAACGGAATCCCTTTGAGCTGACTCCGACTTTCCGTGATATATCCATACCGATAGCCGATTGTCTCCAGCTAGTTGGAATGGACCTGTCGTCCAATTTGAACTTCGGCAGATACATTGAATCTATGACCAAAATTGCAACAAGGAAGCTTGGAATCCTTTCCAGGGTGAGGCGTTACTTTATACTGGGACAGTTGCTTCAGCTGTACCAAGCACAAGTCCGATCGTGCTTGGAGTACTGCTGCCACCTTTGGGATGGCTCTGCGACATGTCAACTGGCCACTTTGGATTCAATTGACAACCGTGTCAAGAGGCTTATAGGTGACTCAAAATTAGTGGATGCGAAGCTGCAGAGCACCGCCGTAAAGTTGCCTACTTATCGGTATTTTACAGGATATATCCCGGATAGTGTGCGATGGAATTACACGATTTAATTCCGCCTTCCCCTTTCCATCACCGGATGACTAGGCGTAAGCTTGGGTTCCACCCCTATGTTGTGGATATTCCAAAGATTCGCACGAAGCGTTACCCTTCCACATTTATATGGCGAACGGCTATGGAGTGGAATTCCCTGCGTGCAGACTTGTTCCCTGAACGTTATAACTTAGACCTTTTCAAGGCGAGAGTGAATAGGCATTATTTAGGTGTGCATGCTCCATCGTCGACCTTATCGTCACTTTCCATCAGGTGAGATGGAGGTCAAATGCGCACCTATATTTTATAAAAAAAAAGCCACTGAACGAACCAGACCTTGTTTGACTTTTTTGCCGTAGTGCAATCTGTGAGAAATCTGTTTCTTTGTTTTTTTTGTGTTCAATCTTTGTATTAACAATTATAATAAATTTATTCCATGTATTGTTGTTAATATACTAAAATTTACTTCCAGGTACGTGTTTGCACCATTCGGCAGAACGTTGGGAATCAAAGATATTCGACCACGGAAAGCGCCGAACAACCCCAAGCTTGAGGCTGCTTACCAGGCTAATCACAAACTTGTACAGGTACATTCAATAATATACTTTTCATTCAAGTTTCTTTTAACTGTGTATCGGCTGTGTGCTTTTGTAATTTTGTACTTCAAATATGGTATGGTAGTAACGCGTGGTGTCAGCAACTCGACATAAATACGAGGAATAAAAATAAACTGGCTTTTCAGTGTGTGTGTGGGTGTTTCAGTGACAGTCGTCTTTTTTTATGAGACTAAGTCGTAAGTAAGACGGGAAGTCTTAAATTTGTGACATTGTGAATAGTAGCAGTAATAACCAAATAAAAACAGGAAAACCTATGACAAACTCGAATTTTTTTTTCTCAGGAATAACGTTCGTTCGAATTTTCATTACGCCGAAAACCGAATTATAACGAAACCATTGTTCTTTCAGGATATACATACATACATATACTTCACGCCTTTTCTTAATTCCTTTTACTTAATAAAAATCGTGTAAATTACCATATGTGCAGTCGATGCCTTGAGGTACCTGAATGAACCTCTAGCCGACTTTTTGTTTTACGCATTCAACAGAATAGTTATTTTTGATACAGGTGCGGAAAGTTAGTCATTATTCACGAGTCTCGAGGCTCCCTCGCCTCTGGCCAAGACTCGAGACGAGTGAAAATGACAAATCCGCTAGTGTATCAAACGACGTTTTTTAATTATTGAAATTTTTAAATTTATTTTTTAAATTTTTGTAAATTTGCGAAAGAGATACATTGAAAATAAATAAAACAGTATATTTTAGTGGCGCGGCGCGCAGCGGTCTCGCGTAATACTCACCTCCGGTCATTGTTAATACACAATCAGCCATCTTTATGGAAAATATTTTGGTATTTTTAAATATAACCCGCTGTTTTATAAAACACCTATGCAATTTAAACAAATAAGATGTTTGTAAGTTAATATAACATTTAATGACGAATGACTTACGTCACAAAGCACATAAATATTAAATAACTATACAACCTCTTTACTTCTATGTTTAAGACTTGAAACAACAGTAAATAAAAAAAAATTAAAAGTACTATTAAAAGTACTACTACTGCGAAAAATCCAACTTTCGGCACGATTTGTAGTACGAAAAATGCCACGTTTTGAGCAACTGTATTAAAAAAGTTTTAAAGGAACTCCAGCTTATACGTTAAAGATCAAATTCATTAATTATTATTATTATATATACCCTTATATAATAAGATTCCTGTTGATATTCCGTTTTTATTTTTTTTTTCTCCTTATGCGTGAGTTATATAACTAATTTAATTAAAAAATAATCAATTTATGGCTTTTAAGTTTATAAATTGATGACATTCCAACATAATTGTGTGAATAAATGGTTAAGTAATTAAGTAGTTAAGTTTAATCAATTGGATTTTAAATGTGATTTGCTTATTTATAAAGACGTATAATTTTTTTTTTAAACAATGTTCAGGGAACAAAATGTTTCATACAAACTTGCACCAGCTGTTCATTGTTTTGTAGGTTTACTTAATAAAAATTGCGTAAATTACCACCAGTCGTTATAGTTCATAAAAGTATTTTCCATACGTACAGCCAATGTCCTGAGATACCTGAATGAACTTCTAGACGACTTTTTATTTTACGTATTCAACAGAAAAGTGTTAAGACTTCCAGCTTGTCCGTTAAAGATCACGTTTGCTCAAAAAGTTTCTTAAAACGTCGTTATTGGTCCTTTCTTCAAGTTTCCATCAAAATCGTAGAAGATTTCCGTCGTCTCTCGGCAGACTACTTCTCCTTACCCAGTAGCTTCGGTCGACTTCGACTTTGACTCACTATTTATACCGGGTAGCTTGCCGCTTTCGACGGGCAAGCGACAATCACCTGACGACTTGGTGTAAATGCGCCATTTCACTTCAACATAACCGCTTGGCGGCAGAATTAGGTAAAGTGGCAGTATATCCCTGGACAAGCTCTTTCATCAGGAGCTCGAATTGACAAGTAACAAGCCAAGCTTTAACTTCAAAAAATGCAATTTGTGCCGGCAATAAAAAACACAATAGTAAATCAAACTGTTCCATATAACCCTTGCGTAAATAAAACAAGCGTGAAAATCATGTAACAGTTATTTAACGAGTAATGTTTGTATTACGTTGAACTGTGTTTAACTTGTAACTTTTTATAGGTAGCGAAACTTATTAGAAACTGTTTTTATTTACTATGTTTGACTATTTTGCAATCGACGTGGAAACGACCTATAATTCAAATTTCAAAATATTTTTATTATGTTTGTAAATAAAGAACACTTGAATTCAATTGATTGCACCTTAACTGGGCACGTTCCCATTATGTCGTGAAGTTTTATTTATGGTTGGACAACTGTCGGAGCTAGTTTGTTCCCATATCATGATTACCTGTCGCGTCTAGTTGTTTCCACTAGATCCTTGCCTTGATCCAGCCGCCTTGTCGTTTGCACGACAAAATTGTTTGAAGCTGCGATTATCTGTCGTCACATTTTTATCGTAACGTTTTATTTATTGTCGGACAACTGTCGTTATAGCTCTTCCCATTGTCACGACAGTCTGTCGTCGTAACGTCAAAAAAGTCGTGAACGACAGTTAATCGTGTTGTTCCATGTGTGAACAACTTCATTTAAATATACAAGCCACGACACTGTAAACGTGTATATTTAGTGTCGTGCGACTGTCTGTCGTCACGACATTAAATATACGACGAGAAATTAGGGATTTGTGACATTTATTTTATTGAATAGCACGATGTTTTTATTACCATGAGAGAACATATATTTTTTGTGAAAATACTCTATTAGTTTGGTGATTTTGTGAAGACGACTGCCAAGAACGATTAGTTGGTTTTGTTCCTCGTATTTAGATAGATAGATAGATGGTGTACAGCGGCAGATATACAAACCTTATTTGTGTTGCAAAAACGAGCGATTCGTTGTGTGTACCGTTTAGGTTCTCGGGTTTCTCTAAGAGAAAAGCTTAAGGAGACTGGTATCATGACCGTGGCATCACAGTAAATTTCATTAAGAAAGAAGATATCCATAATATTAACCTTATGTAGAACTAAGTCCAAACTCATGGTATCACGAGTTCAACTAAGGTAAACGATATAAGTTTTTACAATATCATTCCGGAGAATATACATATTAAGATTATCATTTCCTAAGTTTAAAACTTACATTAAAAATATTTTAATTGGAAAGTCATGTTATAGTCGTGATATGGGAACAGGCTAGACACGACAGTCGTCCAACGATAATAAAACGTGACGACATAGTGGGAACCCGCCCTTAGTTTGCGGGATGTGGGATCGAGCGCTGAGGGTAGACGCTACACCACTTCGAACACTGTTGAATACACTTAGGGAATTCTATATAATCTTTGTATGTATATGTATATACACTTCCGGACACATAATTCGAGCCACCACGCATTGTCAGTATTGAGTGCCCTAATGTTTGATTGATCAAAAACTATTAGTTTTATGTTGAGTGTGTGCGTTATTAGGTATGCAATTTTGAAAGTAGTATACTAAACGTGTTATCTAACGTCCCTCCGTTATATATAATGGGAGAGGGATTTAACGTTATTTCTTCTATTATTATATTATTTACACAGTAAGCATTAATTTATGTTGTCTACGGACTGATAACAATAGATTGCAGGAAATCACGCCAATTTGGTTGCCACGACTTTTACGCGGATTTTATTTGGCGACAAAATTACCGAAATGGAGACTCATAATCAAATGCTAGTTACGCGTAATTGCGCTATCCCCGACGTTATATATTTTTCTTAAGAAATTAGGCGCACGACTTTTTTGACCCGCTTGGTATTAAAAAAGATTACGTATTAATTATCACATTTATTACAATTTATGACAATTCTAGCATATCTGCGTATGACAGCGTAAATAAGTGCCCTTGTCTACCACGGAAGGCGGTATCATCACCACATATAAAAGGCGTTGCGCAACTATAGGGATTAGGGAACATATAGTAATACTGTACCTTGACAATATTTCGAGGATTTAGGATAATAGTATCGTTATCACAGAAAGAGCTTTCACAGTTCGAAGTAAGGTCAAAATAAAAGTACATTCTCGGCAAGTAAATAAACGGGTCGAAAGAAATTTTCTTTGTGAAATATTTTTTTAATAATAATTATTATAGCAAACTATACTTCGTTTCAATCGATTTTGAACAAAAAGTAAACAAACAAGTCACTGAACCGATCACAGACGGTTTAGTGATGGCCAATTGTAATGCCAATTACAAATCGATTAATTAATTGAATGAATCGATTTGTTCCATTGAGTCATAATAGCGGGTTCCCTTACATAACCTATATAAGCATATTTAAAATTTCCGAAATAATAATTTTAAATCCTTCATATTTTTACACTTAGATACTCGTTCGATTGTGATTGAAATATCCGATTTATTAATCGATTACAAAAACTTTAATTGAATGAACCGAAAGTTATTTTCGTACAGCACTATTATGCAATCACAGACAAGTCATAGTTGTCTAAGTTCAGGTTGCGTAAGAGGAACATACTTTATTTCTAGACAGATGTTATGAGCTCTAGGAGGAATAAATAATGTCTTACAATTTTAAACAGTATAATGTTCGTTTAACAAATGCGACGGTGACCTCAACTGCGGTGGCGTAGCCTAACATAACCACCGCTTTGAAGTTCACATTACGAGGGTCTGTCGATAGATATACACGGTGGAAAGGGAAAAATCCCTAAGGCTTGGTTTCATCATCTCTCAGGAACAACTACTGCCAGGATGCGGTCAGCTCACATCCGTGTGGTAGTCGCTAAATTGACTTCGCACTCAGTAGGTTGCTGCACGGACAAGATGTTTAAACGGGGATTCAGGGATACTTGTTAAGACTGCTGTGTCCCTTATTTTCAAACACTTACACGAGGCAAGATCTCAACGCAGTCACACAGAATACAATTAACGTGGTAGAATACTACTCAGAGTCAATATTATATTAAAATAAAAAATCGTCACGATAAGAAGAAGATTTATCTAAATATAACTTTAAGCACGCTACCTACTTAGATAACACCAATTTAGAACTATTCAAACACACTTGACATACTTTCTTGTTTGCTTTACGGTATCTGCGGTTAATGTGTATACTAAGATGACTTTCAACTCTCCACATTTATTTAATATATTCAATAGTTATAGAAAGGCTTATTCAGTGGAATTTACAAAAGTTTCGATAAGATTCGGCTCAGCGAATTCCCCAACCGCAATTTGAGGATATTTTTAAATCTCTGTTAAATATCTGAGGCGACTGTAGTACCATAAACTTATTTTTAGTATATATACACTCTAATCAAGGGCGCTTGCCTCATAGTTTTTGTTTCCATTGTGGCGTAGGAAAGTAGAAAACCTGAACCACTGCACAATTAACTAAGTTTTTTTTTCTGTTCACTCCTATACTTTTTCAATTATTTTCAAACGGCGTAGTGTCTTTTTCCAATCATCTCTATCTCCTTTCATCTTGCCATTACCTGACTTTATCATCGTACATCATGGTAGCAATACAGCTCCTTATTAACGAGTTCTTCCAGGAAAGTATTGTCACTTTTCCTACTTCTACCGGCAAGCAGTAATGGAAGCATCACCGCGTTCCGATGCTGGTGAAGTTGCAGGCACATGGGACTTGTCACAATGCACATCTATTCACTTTCGAGATACGGCAGTCAAAGGGTGATGGGCGCAGTGGCAGTGCCCCTAAGATCTTTGCCATTTAAAGTTCTGACTTTTATGGATAGACGTGTCGCTTACCTCGAGGCGCACGATATGTTCGTCCCGTCGCTTGATATTATAAAAAAAGGTAATCTTTACATTTTGCGGCTACTGAAAAAGTCTACTTTTTTCAGATACAAAAAATAATAATATCCCCTTAAGAAGGAGCAGAGGAAAAATTCCTAATCTTCGATTTGATTTTAGAGGGGTATATCCACTTTAAAGTTAAAAATAAAATATTGTATGAGTAACTACACGATATATTCAAGCATAGACACTAATCAGAAACATAAAACAATAAAGCTTCCTCGATAGATAAAAATCACAAAATGACTTCTAATTTTCACATTTTTTCGATTTATCCTCGAAATGCTACAAGTTATTAGGACAAAAATTAGATAATTAATTATATTTATGCATGATCGAGAACTGTCACTACGGATTTTTTTAATCCCTTTAGTTTTAGGGTTATTCCGCTAAAACGAATTTGGTACTTTTAATGCGCAAAATTCAACATCTCCTGTCGCATGTCACGCGAACTTCAGGCATATATTTGTTTTACAAATTTAGGCGGAGCCAACGTCAAAACAATTTTGGCATGCTCCCTCTTAAGAATGTCAATTACTGCTTTTCATTCACATACTATCGTTCACATCGACTGTATCTGACGCTTGCAGTTGATCACGACTGCACTCATTAAATACAGACATGCATTCCATCTGTTAGTAGCATTAGAATTACAAATGCCTAAAGGCCATGGTTGCCGGGTGCACCGGTTGAAATATCGATACATCTCAAAAACGTAGTCCTACGTGTATATTGTTTTGATCTGTTATCTTAATGACTTAGATACAAATGAATGTTGCAGTTTAAACCCTATTAGCTTATCATTTGAAAGTCCTAGGGTCAATGTAAGAAAGATCGTTCACCTTAAACAGAGTGTTAATATAAAGTACATACGCATTCTTTGACATAAATGTTGTTGATGTTTTTTATGATATCAAAGATGTGCATACAGAAAGCGAAAGAATAGATTATATTTACGCAAAATTTAAAATTTACTTAATTTCTGGAATTGTTGTTATTGCGTGTTTTTTCTATATTTTTTATGTGTAACTAATTATTATTTATAATTTACTATAATTAGAAGAAAAGTTTCGTAATTGTAAATAAGAGTTATGATTTGTAATTAGAGTGAGGTTTTATTCACTCTATTGTATTACTTGAAATTGCCTATAGTCGATAGAATGAAGATGTATTGGATTTTAGTTATTCTAGACCAAAATAAGTCCATTGTAATCCCGTATCATGGCGACAGGGTTCCAACTTTATGTAAGAAGTGGTATTAGGTGCCGCGCAAATGTGTGTCTTGTGTTGGATACATGTAATCGGCAACTTGAAGCGAATATTTATACAAATTGCAGTTGCGACAACTGGCGAATATTCGCTTGTAATTGCTAGTTACTTGTATTCAACACAAGACACGTTTGCGCGGCACTTTTATGTAAGTTGGTTATGTACGGGTAACAAATGAAAAAAGTTTTAAAATTTTGATTAGCTTTGAAATCGACACGCAGTCTATCATTGACCTATAACTACGCGGTAGCCAATTAGGATCATTAAATATGCATAGACAAACAATATCTGAATAAATAATGAAAAAAACAACCATAATGAGAAAAAATACTTTGAAATTGAACGATAATTGCGAAATAGAAGCGTTTCTTTTTACGACATTTTGTAAAATCATACATCATTCTTGCGTTCACTTTACACTGAACACAATAGGTATTGTATGCTTGGCCTACTTCAATCTGTGCATACATTTACTAATGATGACGAACGACTTGTATTAACAATTTATTCAGTTTTGAAAATGTTTAAAATTACCCAATACCTTCATCGTTTACATCGGACTATCATATGAGCTCGCTCCACACAACGACATTTAAAATATGTGAATATTCAACTAAAATATCTCAAATTTATGCAAATTTAGAAATTTTATTATTTTTTTCCGGATTTAAATCCGTTTGTTTGATATTTTTTCCAAATAAACCGACCATTTGTGACCTTTTACAGAGCTCCAAGCAAAATTGTTTATTCTGTTAACAAATTACAGCAGGTTAAGTGACACGCCTCTCGTAGCGGTTGCAGTGCCACTCAGAGCTTTAAATTATTGAAAGTTGTGTGCCTCTCTGGAATTCCCCTCGATTTTAATTCTTTGTAACTGCTATCATGTACCTACTAAGAAAAAAAATCTCTTGCAGCTATGCGGTCTCGCAAAGCAACTTGACATGACAGAGCGGCAAATTGAGCGATGGTGGCGCCTCCGTCGCTCGCAGGCGAAACCCTCTACACTGGTGAAGTTCTGTGAGAACTCTTGGAAATGCACCTTCTATATTTGCAACTTTGCTTTCGGGCTTTACATTCTATGGGACAAGGAGTGGCTGTGGGACATCGATCAGTGTTATATCGGATATCCTCATCAGGTAAGTTTTGCTATATAGGCTATCTACGAGAGATCACAATCACGGGGAGATAATAAATGTAGCAGTATATAAAGTTATCTTCAAGAATTATTTGATTTATTTATTTCATACAAACAAGGCATATAGATTTTAGGCATGGCAAGGCATAAGGATTTATTTATTTCATACAAATAGGCAAGAGAACATAATACAATTTCTCACCAAACTGTGAAAGCAGTTTGTTGGCGAGGTTACACCCACAATCGTAAAACTATAGTATACCTGTTACGAGTACATTTAACAAAACCAGTATAGATTTAACTAAATTTACCTGCTTTTAAGAAGTATAAATTTAAATTTTTTCTTCTATTCTCTGCCTCTCAAAAAATCGAATATATTAAATATAATTGGCAAGAGATGTCTATTTGTTCTTTTACCATAATAGTTATTTACTTTTGGACATACGTATTTATTTTCACGGGCTCGCCAGTGTTATACTTGTTCGTTACATTAATTTTAAATTCAGTTGTATAATAGTTTTCAATAATGGCCACATATTGAACTTTTCTTTTATATGAAGTATTTTACAGTAGATAAATAGTCATATTATCATAGTCTCCCTTACAACCATTCTTATTTTACGACTTACTAATGCTCGATACCGCTTAAGGACATCTGAACAAAATTTTCGCATTGCCTTGTCATACATTAGTATTTTCAAGAATATTTGTATCAATACAAACAAATATTGGTATCAAGACCGGAATGAGCGAAGTAGTGGAGAAACCCCTAAATGAAAAGTTCTTTTAATTAAAATAGGTTCAAAATAGATCAAGTAAAGTAGGCGAGTCTTTAAAACGACTGTAACTGATCTCAGCCTTACTTATACTACTTAAATAGAATTGATATAAGCATTGTTTTGGTTGGAGAAACCAGGAATTTTAGTGGCAGTGATGTGGTATACGTCGAAAAGTCATAATCAGAACAAGGATGGGAAGAATGTCTGCAGGGCACTAGTTGTAGTCTGCTGAAATGTTCATTTTAAAAGTCACGGGATTGTTTTTTTAAAAGCAGCGACAACTACAAAGGTTATATTTAATAAACTTGCATAAAAAATTCATTACACATAATTTATTATATATATTAATTATATTTATTAATTACTTGCGCTACAATGGTAACTTTATAAAGTTGTACTTAATCAATTCCAGGGTCTAACTAACGATGTCTGGTGGTACTACATGATTTCATCAGCGTTCTACTGGTCTCTTACCCTCTCCCAGTTTTGGGATGTGAAACGCAAAGACTTCTGGCAGATGTTTGTTCATCACATCGCGACGATTGCTTTACTTTGTTTTTCGTGGGTCTGCAATCTGCACAGAATCGGAACATTGGTACTGCTGTTGCATGATTGTGCTGATATATTTGTTGAGGTATGTGTGACTACCATTATTACTACAATATAGTAATAAGTACTAATGAGCCACCACAGCGGCTTGAGCGAGATTTAGGTTACATTTCGTGTTCGCATGCAACCGACAAAATATTACTTTGTAATTTTTATAAGGCCTTTGATTGCGTTGACCGTAAAAAAATTACAATTTAATTTACTGTGATAAAAAACTTTGAGTGTTGTGATGTTACAAATAAAGCTTTCAATCTTGAGTCATCGTACTTTAGTGTTAGGATAAACGAAGTTGGATCTCCGTTACAAAAGCGTGTCCTACAAGGTATAGTGCTGGGTCCGTATTTGTATTACTAATTAATATGTTGATTTTTCACATTCCAGTCCGTGAAAGCAACAAAGTACTCAGGCTACCAGCGAGTGTGTGACACCTTATTCTTAGCGCTTGTTGTTGTGTGGATTACCACCCGTGTTGGAATATATCCTTTCTACATTATTTGGAGGTAAGTTTGTAAACACTTCAATACAATCTACAAGATGTGATGTGTTGTTTGCACTCGATTTTTAAGTGCTAGATTAGATTTATCATTTCCTCAAAGAGTATATGGATCTTGTGACTACAGCCCGATAAATGTGGAGATCTTTTTGGATCAAACAAGCAACCTTTATTAATTTTCTAAATTGATACATAATAAATATTTAGTTCTTTCTTTCAAACCATTTGAAAACATTTGATATCTCACTTTGGGTCTTACCATATCTGTACCATACTGCAAAATGGTGTGTTTTTTTTTCAAAATGCTGATGGCTTAATTTTTAACTTTTTGCTTTATGCATGTGACTTTTTCGTCATCACGCATATTTTAATATCATGATATTTAAATAAACAAATAACCAAAATAACTACGGGTGCGAATCACATACATCCTATTACTGCCGCCAAGTCTTAATTTGACCATTACTGAGTTCCACTTTTGAAGAGTTGATCGTGCTGGTGAAATTAGAGGTACATAGGACTTGCCTGCTTATGTCTCAGGGTGACGGGCGTAGTGGCAGTGCCCCTTAGATCTTTGTGATTTAAAGCTCTTGAGTGGCACAGCAGATGTTATTATGATTATGAACATGACATGACTTGTTCGTCCCGTCACTTGTTATTAAAAAATATAAAAAGAAATGAAAACCTGGCCAATTTATGGGGACTTCACACTTGCCAGGGGTTGTCAACCTTTTTTGACATGCAGGTTTTATCACGATGTTTTTGCTACTACACATTCAGAAATGTACGTAACTTAGGAATTAAAATCATAGGTATGTAACCTAGCCTTAGTTAGGGCCCGTTCATATTTTTTTACAAGAGGAAAAGAAATGTCGTAACATACAATGATACAAACAATATGAAACACTCCTTGCTAGCACTAAACAGTCCAAAGTCCGGTTACTCGCCTGGTACATATATCTAATGCTTTAAACACAATTTAAGTGGAGTTGTAGTTTTACATGTTGATAAATAAGTACGTCCTCTCGCTTCGAGAATTTTCATGAGAATGATGATGGAACGAACCAACGTTAAAATAATGAAGGAAAAGGAATTTCGAAAACAATTCAAAGCCTCCAGGACGCCGATTCAGAACTCTTCGATATTTTAACCGAATCGTCGATTTTATATCGTTGTCGAATTGACGGGCGCTTTCCGAGCTATTCAGAACATTCCGAGTTAAACGTTCAATTTGGTTTCAGATACGATATCGTTACCCAACAGCGTTTACGAAGATAGTCAGTGAAATAGATTATAAGAAAAAAAAAACATACAGTCGAATTGAGAACCTCCGCCTTTTTTTGAAGTCGGTTAAATAATGAAAATCCATTTTGAAGCCTTTAAAGAACTAAAATATAGGAATGCATTAATCTTGCATTAAAATAAATTAATAATATTGAAAAAAATCCAGTATTTATATAAAATAAATTTTTCCATATTAAATTCTTGCTTTGCAAACAATAGGACGTTCGGTAACTTTCATTCGATAACTGTGTTCTGAATAACGTTTGTAGCCTTTGCCGGTCGAGAAGTTCGAGTAATCGCACAGGTGTGACGTCATTTCGGTTCGGGTTCAAATGCGACAGAGTTTTGACGTGCGATTCGGGTGTTGTGAATAAAAATGAAAAGAAATCAGTCGACAACTGAATTATCGTAAGGTTCTCGAATCGACCCCCAGGAACCAGGTAAAGAGGGTGATAAAAAGGTGAGACGATGCATCGTCAAAGTTACTTGCCGCCATAGGGTTACAAACTGTAAACCTTTCAATTGAGAAACAACCACCGTGCCATACTATCAATTTAAATTACCGTATGTCTATTTGCAGTACGTCTATCCGCGCTCCGCAACTTCTACCGATGTTCGCCGCGTACTACATCTTCAACACTCTCCTTTGTCTGTTGCTAATTTTACACGTAGTGTGGACATGGCTCATTCTGCAGATCGCCTACAAAGCTATTATTGCTGGACAGGTTTGTTCCCTTTTAAATGTAGTACTTAGTAGAAGTAGAGCACCTTGTGAGAGAGTTCGCCCAGGGAAGTACTGCCACCTTACCTATTTCTGCCGCCAAGCTGTAACGAGAGCATTACTGTGTTCCGGTTTGGAAGGGTAAGGGTGCTGGCGAAATTACAGGCACATGGGACTTTCAACCGGCGACGGGCGCAGGGCAGTGCCCCTCAGATCTTTGAGATCTAAAGCTCTGAGTGGCACTGCATCGATAGACGCGTCGCTTACCACCATGCGCACGACTTGTTCGTCTTGTTTATTTGGGTCAACAAATTTTATTTAACTGCCTCCGTGGCCAAACAGTTACCATGCTGGACTGCCACGCAGAGGACTTAAGTTCGATTCCCGGGCCGGGAGAAATGTTTGTATGGTCTACATTTATTTCTCTCGTGAGTTTGGGTGTAATTTTAGTCTACGTGTATGTCCATGGCACCCGCGATACAGAATTTCTCTAGTGCGGGGCCATGAGTGTGTAAAAAAGAAATGCATATACTCTGCGATGTAATTCGAGATCATAAACGTAAACAAAAATCATGTTATTGTAAAAGAGTGGAGTAATTTCACAAAAAATTATTGAATGGCATGGTAGTGAAACATCATAATATTCATTACAAACAATATTAAAGTAATATATATTTTCAGATGGACGGTGATATTCGGAGTTCCAGTTCAGAGTTAAGCGACAGCGGTAACTCTAACCACAACACGCCCAACCACGTCAACAATAAGAGTAAAAAGTAAGAATACCTTTTTTTTAATAATATGAACTAATATTGATATTAAAAAGAAGAGAAGTAATAACAATAATAACAAAAAGGAAGGAAGTACGTTTTTTTTTTCATTTAGATTTACAATTAGTTACGTAAAAGTAACTAATTGTAAATCTAAATGAAAAAATAAAAAAACTTTATTGAAATGAAGTTATATTAGAATTGGGTAGGTCATGTCCATCGAGTATATAACCCGAAATAGAGACGAAATGTCATTTAATTTGTTTGAAAACTATTCTGCCGTATCGTTACGGTGACAACTGCGCTCCGATTGGCCAGCCCGAATTCGAAACAATTGACGAGTGTCGTCAATTGTTTTACTTCAAATCGATCAGTTTAACCTGAGCGTTGCTATAATGGACGAAAATTTAAAAATTACATATTTAATATTTAAGTACCAATGAAACCACCGCACCGAATGGAATAGCCCACCTAGTTACAGATATGATCTTTATTACAATAAATATAGAATATTTTTGGAATATACGGAGACGTACACAAAGGTCAGTTGTTGGCGCTGTACTATTTCAGCTTTCTAATTTGTGATTTCAGCGCAAACGAGAGTTGATATGGAAATGTGATATAAGTCCCATTTGCCTGATGAGTTGCCAGGGATGGATGGCCCTTATTTCGTCTCTATTTCTGGTTATATACTCGATGGTCATGCCACTTGGATCGAGATGTCTATTATTATCGGAATTTAGGAAGTTAATTTAGCTAAACTAAAGAATAACGTGGATATTCTCATCTACCAATCCCGAGACTTCTCGGAACAGACTATGTTTAAGTATACGTATTATTTATTGAAATATGACTACATTGGCGACAAATTATTATATCCTGTTAAGTATCTCTACAGGTATCTGCGTGTTTATATAACACTGTAGTCTCTTAAAAAATAAACATTAGGTGACCCTATATTTTGAACTGAATAGAAAATAAACAGTAAAAAAGGAATTTAAGGCCGGTCACGTACTGTCGGAATTCCGTTTCGGAATATGGATTCGAGGTTCCGTGTATACATCACAGACATACCGTCTGCTTAAAGGTAAAACCACATAAGTGACATTTTCCACAAAAAATCTCCAAATTATGTACCTGTTGTACGAAAATCACCATCTTTCTGCAGATAAAACTCTTATCGAGTTTATAACTTTTTGTTATTGAGCTTTTTTTGCAGAAAGACAGTGATTTTCTTACCATAGCTATATAAATTAAAGATTTTTTGTGGAAAATGTCACTTACTTACTTATTTGTGATTTTACCCTTAAACACACGTTACGTTTATTTCCTTTCGGAATAACAAGACTCAGCTGAGCAACGCGAGGCATTGAGTCCAGATGTTCTTGCAGCTTAATTACGACTGTGTGTTGCGGCCCTACGTAATCTATGAAAGACTAGTTTCGGGACGGCTTTTTCCGGAATGGCAAATGCACAAGCCACTATACGGAATTTCGAATCGGAAAAAAATTCGAACGGAACAGTAGTGCATTGATTTGTATGGTTTTGCTGCCTTCGAAATTCCGAAACGGGATTCTGACTATATGGCCGGTCTTATACGCATTTTTGACGAAATGGGTATGTCTATACTAAGTAAGCGTTCATACTTTTAATAAGAATTCCGATCTTCTTCTTCTTATTTAAGATCTATGCTCTTGTCAAAACAAAATTCCACCGAGGAGTCACATAATACCTTTGCTAAATCTATCGCGCGAGGATAGCTTACGAAGTAACATCTGTGTAACTCTGCTCCCCAAAATTAAATTGATTTAGCAGTTCTAACCAAAAGTTCTTGCTTAAGTGTATAATATTTCTAAAGCCAGTGAACCAGTCTATCCAATGGTGAAAGTGCTGTGAAAATTGAACAATAAACACACAAGTTATAAGCAAAATAATTTCAAATATTTTGTGTAACGGCCGTGGACCTGACCTACCCCAATCTGTGCGCCGCCCACCCGCACCCGTCCCGCGCCGCTTGCCTCGGCGTGACCTCACGAGACGCGGCATCTACCCACTCTACGATGGCTCCGAGAATAAAAACAAAATGCTGTGCAGGGTGTCGCGGTCCAATAACCAGCGGAAGCAGTTACATGACATGCGCTAAATGTAAGCAGATTTTTGACTTATTATGTGCAAATTATACTGAAGATGTGTATGCTACATTTTCCCTGGAATATAAAATGTCCTGGATATGTGTCGAGTGCCGTAGCAAAGTACCAAAAGGCGATAACTCTAGTACCCCTGTTCGCCAACATCACATCCAGGATACGAGTATCGCTAGTGACAGTCCTGGCGTATCAATCTGTAGCCCGGAACACGTCACTGTACGTACTGGGACGCGTTATGGTCAACCTACTGGGAAGAATGTGAATGAAGATATGAGTAATCTTTTGAAAGCACTACAAGTATAAATGAACTGAGTGTTGTGCAAGACGAACTTGAAAAACGCCTTATTACAAAATTTAGCAAACTATTATCTGAACACTTTTGCGCTTTCAAATCCGATTTGCTTGAAAAGATAAATAAAATTGTCTATCGAAGCGTATGGATGAATTAGAGAGATCCATAAATACTTTGACTACTGGAAATAATAGATCAGAAACCATTATGACACCAACTGAAAATAATAAGACCCGACAGGCAACGGAGCCTGCCCAAAGGAAAAATAAGAAAAAACAAACATCACTCCAGAAGTCGAATTCGGCGTCGGCCATCATCGGATCTGGTGGTGCTCCGCCACGTTCTCCTCCGGCCCCTGTCGGTAATCTCAATTGCAATGACAAACCCGATCAAGAGGGGTGGACAGAGGTCATTCGCCGTCGGTCGTCGTCGCCTGCCCGAGCGTCATTGCCCGGTGTTATGAGGGGCACCGCTGCCCCTGGAACTACCATACTGTGTGCTGCTGAAAAGAAAGCCTTCTTGCACCTGTATTACGTAAAGGAGGGTACTACAGTCGAGCAAGTAAATGCCCATCTTAAAACAATATGTGGGGCTGATGTTTGTTTCGTAGAAGCGCTTAAGACACGAGGAGACTACGCTTCGTTCAAGCTTGCAGTACCACCTGAGCTAACTAATCTACTCCTGAACCCAGACAATTGGGCTGTGAACATCTGTGTCAAACCTTGGCGACATATTTTTCGCAACAAACAGGAGAAGTGATAGGCGCAAAATCAAAACTATTAGTTGCTATTATCAAAATGTACGTGGTCTACGGTCTAAGACTACCGTATTTCATAATAACATTATGCAATCTACATACGATATAATCGGATTGACGGAGACGTTTTTATCTAGCTCTGTGTCTGATGGAGAACTGTTTCCACCAGGATATGTGGTAATTCGTCGAGACCGAATGTGCGACGCTGGCTGGGGTGGAGCGTTGCTTGCGGTGCGTGATTGCTACTCTGTACGTGAGATTACAGATATTGATGGAGCAACGCCAGACAAGGAACTGTTATTCGCTACTATCAAATGTAATAGTGTAAAATTGTTATGTTGTGTCGTGTATTTGTCTACAAGTTGTGACGATGAACATTATCTGAGCACACTGACATGCATTGAAAATGCTATCTGTTCGTACCCTGACTTTGATGTTTTAGTATTAGGTGACTTTAATTTAAATTCATTTTCTAATAATATAAATACACAATTTAATTTATTCTGTGAATTTTGTAAGTTACAAGACTATAATACTGTGTTTAATAGTCATGGCTCGAAATTAGACGTAATATTGAGTGACTTTGCCCCTGATAGGGTTAACGTTTCAGTCATCTATGATCCTCTGGTTCCGTTGGATAGATTATACCACCCTGCACTGGAAGTGACGATAGAGTTAGAATGTAGCGCCAGGCCTTCGCTCTTTCGTGCCCCTCGGCAACAGGGTATATGTCCTGATTGGAATTGGCGTAAAGCGGACTATCAGGAATTGTATGCGGCTTTATCTAAAATTGACTGGGCTGGTTTGTTCGAAGTTCGACATGCTGATGAGGCTGTTGGATATTTTTATTCAAAAATATACGAGTGCTGCAATCGTTTCGTACCAGTCAGGAAACATTGCCAACGCGATTTGCGATACGTATACCCGACATGGTATACTGCTGAAATTATACGGAACTTAAAGTATAAACACTATCATCTTAAAAGAATGAAATCTGATGGAAAGGAATATAACGTAGAGCTGTACAAATACTACAGGTGGCACGGTAAAAAACTAATAAATGACGCGTATCGGCAGCATATAAGTAGGTTGCAAAAAAGTATAATTAATGAACCAGCTCGATTCTGGGGATATGTTAAAGATAAGAGAAAGGACAGGCACTGTACAGATGTCTTTTCTTACGACGGTGCGGAAGTGTCTGGACAGGCTGATGCGGACGTTTTCCTATCGGATCAGCCGCAACTGGACCCTGCAGATGCTGCTCGAGCTGCTTATCCAGTAGTGGGCACTAGGGATGTAGCTGTTGTGGGCGTAAGCGGGGACGATATTAAAGCTGCAATTAAGCGTTTACAAACGAAGTCCGCGTGGGGTCCTGATGGAGTGCCAGTGTTTTTAGCAAAGGATTGTATGTCAGCTTTTCAAAGACCGCTGATTTACATATACAACCTCTGTCTTGACTCTTCAATATACCCGTTGTGCTGGAAACTATCGCGTGGGACGCCAGTGCCAAAAGGAGACGCTAAAGGCGATGTAACGCAATACAGACCTATTGCTGTACTTTCTGTGTTTGCGAAAATATTTGAATCCATCCTTAATACGCGCATTAGTGGACAAATAAATGGATTGCTCCATAGTAGCCAGCATGGCTTTCGTCCTGCTCGGTCTACTACGACAAATCTTATCGAGTTGGTAGATTATGTATCTGCAGAGATGGATGCAGGTCTTCAGGTAGACGCTTGACTTCAAGAAAGCATTTGACCTAGTGGACAATGACATATTATTAACGAAATTGGCGATGGCTGGTTGTACGCCTAAACTCCTACGGTTTTTTGCCAGCTACCTAGAAAATAGGCGCCAGTTTGTAAAAGTGCAAGGTTTTGAGTCACCAGAATACTACACAAGATCTGGTGTAAGCCAAGGAAGTACTCTGGGTCCAACTCTATTTTTATTAATGATTAACGACTTACCTAAAACTATTCGTACTGCTCGTTGTCTTCTTTTTGCGGACGATCTTAAGATATTTCTGGGGGTGAGGGATATTGGTGATTCAGCTGCCTTGCAAATGGATATTGATGCGGTGTCGGAATGGAGTTTGACTAATCGTATGCCCTTCAATGACTCAAAATGTAAAGTAATTACTTTTACCCGTAAACGTTGCCCAATACTGGTAAATTATATATTATTTGACGCCTGTATAGATAGAGTTTTTGACATTAGTGACTTAGGATTAACGTTAGATAGTAAGTTAGACTTTCACAAACACGTGACGGTAACCTGTAAAAAGGCGAATAGGATTTTAGGATTTGTTATACGGACATCATATGAATTCAATGGCGTGGCTGTGGCGAGGATGTTGTACAGCGCCTACGTACGCAGCAAGCTGGAATATGCAGCTGTAGTCTGGGACCCTTATGAAGATAAATACTCTATAATGTTGGAACGAGTTCAGCGTAAGTTTGCACGTTGGCTTTATAAACGGCAGTACGGGTATTACCCGTACTTGTATCCATCGCTTTTTGTTTCGGGTATGGTAGAGTTGGACACTTTGTCTCGGAGGCGAAAGATGCAGCTGCTGGCTCATTTTGTTTCCGCGATCCACCACAGGGTGGATAGTGACATAATAAGTAAGGTGGATCTGTTGGTGCCCACTCGTATCCTGTGGAGTGATGAGGGTGCGGTGGCCCCGCGCCGATATCCACGGCTGTTTTCATTGTACGCTGAAAACGCGCCTACCATTCGCGCAATAAGCCTGATCGGGGACATACTCACTCAATGTGACTTAATTGATTTATTCGCTGATCGCGTTGGCTATATATGTAGAGAGATGTCTCCCTACATTGTGTAGTCAGCGTTATCATAAAATGTTAGAATAAGGACTAGAATAATTTGCTGTTAACTATTTTTTGAATTGTAATACTTATCATAATAATTGTATGACTTGTAAGCGCTTTGGCTACTTAGCTGTTAGTTTGCAATGTATGAATAAATAAATAAATAAATAAATAAATAAACCTACACGGTATTCTGAATATGGAATCTAGACGGACTTTGCATTTTTCTACATTGATGCACTCTGTTGTTAGATACAAAAGTCCACCTTGTCTATATGTCAAGTTAAAATGGCGTATTTATTCCTATAATTCACGCAGAGTTAATAGTTTTTTATTGGTAAAGCCATGCCATAAAACAAGAGCCTTTGAGGGTAGCTTCCGGTATCAGGCATCATATGCTGGAATAATCTGCCTCCTCCACTTAGACAGCCAATCTCAAATACCGCATTTAGAAAACGTATGAAAAATCTGTTGATGGAAAATCAGCGTATGCTCTGGTGCCGGTTGTTCCTAACTCTTGTCTTCTAACTTATTTATGATTTATTACAGAACGACTGAAAATCAGCGTCTGTCTCACCTGAGACAAGACATATTGATGAGTCGTATAAGTTTCTTCTTTTGCGCCACTATACCCACTTACTAACACTTACAATCCCGCAGACATTTGTTGTTTTAGTGTTAAGTATTAGATTTAAATTTAAGTTATCTGATCTAAATAACTTCGTCTCGGTCTTCTTCTGCTTGTCTTCCCTTCTATTATGTTTCTAAGAAAACTGTCGTGACGCATCAGATGACCAAACATTTTCCCCCTTCGGTTCTCTATTGTCTTTAATAAGCTTCTCCTTTCAATTCCGATTATTGTTTAGTATTCAGCATCCGTATTTCCACAGGGCTATCGTTCTGTCTTTATTATCGCTGACTGTACTTTTTATAACGAATAAAAAAAATGTGTTTTCTTTTTCAGAGAAACATAGACCCGATAGAGACCGCTGTCGACGTGATTTCGTATAGATACGTTTAAAATCTACGAGGTAAACTTAACGAATACTGTTTGTCTAAAAACCATAATACAATCCCCAAATTGATGACCTCGGTGGCTAACAGTCCCTGGTTCGATTTTCGGTAGGATGAATTTGGGGAATGAACTTTATAAACTAAATTGGTTCAGGGGGTCGCCTCTCCGTCTCCCGTCTGACATTCGATGTCATTACGACATATTACTTATTTTACAGTAATTGTTTCAGAGTACAGGGCCTGATCTGGGTGTTCTGTGCAATTCTATGGATTGAATTCCGTTTTCTGCAAATTTTTAATTGCCCAAATCTGCTAATTTTAAATCATCTCAGTTGTGTGCCAACGGCTGGATTTTGTGCGTTTGGTATTCTGCTAAAAGTGAAGAGCAGTGGTGTAGCTTTCGTGGGTTTTAGCCCAATAAAAGATGGTCGAATATGCACTATGAACTTTAATCAAATAGTAATTGGCACTTTGAAACTATACAAAATTAGTAAAAGAATTTATAAACTAAAAAATAACGTTCGTTCGAGTGAAGCTCGCAATTGGATCTCTCACACTAGTGGGTCGCCCGCGCCTCCCGCGGCCCCCACCCCGCCGTCGTCGGCTAGCTTCGGCTCGCGTCGGTTTGCGTCGGCAACAAGTGATTTGTCGGTGGCTAGCCATCGAGACACTATTCAACTGCTATTGGAAAGTAGACTGTATATTAAGATGTGCGCTATAATGCAACTGCCTCCGTAGCCGAACGGTTATCATGCTGGACTGCCACGCTAGAAGTCTCGGGTTCGATTCCCGAGCCAGGAAAAATATTTGTATGGCCTACATATATTTCTCTCGTGAGTTTGGGCGTAATTTGTGGTTGTCTATGTGTGTGTATCCATGGCACCCGCGGCACATGGTGTCCCTAGTGCGGGGCTATGAGTGTGTACATTATTATTATTATTATTATTGAAACACTTTGGCAAATTACACGAATTACGTAGGCTGCGGCCGGAGGTTCCAAAAAAAAACCGAAATTAATTTAAATAATTTAATTTAAAAAAAGAAATACAATATAATATAAACTTATGTGGCTAACTATTCTAGTGTCCTAATCGAAGTATGATTATGGAATGCCCGTTTGTGGAGCTTGATTTGGCAATTGGCAATCGTGCTGGCTCAGGTCACGTTCCGCAGCGTAGGCGCCTCGTGAACTTGCGGATGTTTTCCACCAGAATGGGGTGAATGCAAAGTTGGCGATCTTCATAGCGGAGGGATGTGTAACACACGCGTTTTATTTGAAGTTGGTTAAAATGTATATTGTATTTTAAAAAAAGCAACTGCCAAAATTTGGAAAAACAAAGGCAGGCGAAAAGTGAGATAATACTTCATGAAAGAGAAGCCCATGTTCAGTAGTGGGACGCTTATAAGAGTATACAGGTACTACAAGATTAAAAGAACCAATGTAGAAAAACTTAGTTGTACCAAATCGGTTCCGCCGTGTATCGAACCCGGAAACTTCTCATACAAATTTTACGACATTCGTGGTTATCACTAAATGATTACCATTAACAGGTTTCTTACCATGGTATGATTTCTTTTTGTTTTCTAGACATTTCCGATTATACGCTCTATGATCACAGGTTGAGTTAACAAAAATAAACCACAGCATGGTAAGAAACCTGTAATTAGTGACGATCACTTTCTCATACAGTACATAGAGTGTATAATCGAAATTAAACTCAAAATCAAATTTGGTTTTTAGACAAACATTATTTACCTGATCACAACATCGTGATTATTGGTCGTCATTGTTAAAATTAGAGTAATTATACATAGATATACCTTGAAGTTGGTTGTTCACATGCAGAATGGTGTATGTCCAGCTTTATTTAAGGACATAAATGTAACTTGTTCAAAATGAAGCTTTGTATAATTAAGTTTCTTTTCTGTGAACTTTATTCCGTTGTTTGACTGGTTATATTAAAAGCAGATTAGCTTTTGAAATAGTTACTTACATGTACAGTGTAGTTTAGTCCCGTCTGCTACCACCACTGGTGGCAGATGCAACTTTTGTTATAACCGCTGGCGGTAATTATTAGTAAACTTCTATGTATCGGTAAATGCGTCAAAGTTTGCCAACAAGGAGTCATTTTGCTTAAAAAAAGTGTAGACGTCAGTGACGAAACAAGCGAAGAATGGAAATGTGAGAGCCGTTACTACTGACGTAGTTCGGGTGCCAACGGCCTCAATTATTAGCCATATATTTTATTCGAAAATAAACAACTTATTTTCTATATATCTGAAGCATTTCTTCTATCCATAATCAATGTTATTTTTTCGATTTCCAATGCTAAAGCATTAGGCTTTTAAGGTGTTATTTAAAGTTTGGTAAATCACAGGTGACATTGCTCTAAATTTTTAATTTAAATAAATAATTGTACAGTTACGATGTGACTTCTAGTAAAAGGCGTCTGAATTTTTCAAATCTTGGGGAAAAGTTGACGCTTTTACGGTACCACAGATGGGAGTCAATTTAGTTGCATCTGCCCCAATTTGTGATCCGTTGGTACTAAAGAGGCGCAATCTTAAAATTATTTGTTTCTCACGTTATCATCTATATTTATGCAATTTTAAACAGAAAACTATCGTGGAATATATTAATTAAACTAACGGATAACTAACTACAGTGGCGGATTTGCCCTAAGGCCCGGTAGGCCTGGGCCTAGGGCGGCCAGATATTAGTGGCGGCCAATCTTGTCAAAAAATTCACTGACAAGAAATAACTCGAGTACATTATGGCGGGCCGCACTGCACCGCATTGTATAACAATAGCCTTTCTAAGTCACTTTCGTACATTTTATGTATAATCACTATATCACTACATATTATCACTACCGGATCTGTTTGTCTGATCGCGATAAACACAAAAACTACTGAACGAAATTTCGTGCGGTTTCCACCAATAGACAGAGTGATTCATGAGGAAGGTTCGGGTGTATAATTTATTCATGTTATGTGTAAGTTGACTGAAATGTGATTGGAGATGTGGGAAAAAATCATGCCGGCTGGGCGCTTTATTGGACGCCAGTACTGGCGTGCGCCCGTAAACTAACAGAGATATATAAAATCAATGGTCTAGAAAAATATTACAATTATTAATAATATTAAATAGTACATTTCTGAATCGATTTCGATAAAATGTTGGCAATAAAGTAAATACATTATGTAGTCTACCACTATATGATGAGTGCTGAGAAAGGGGCGGCTGGTATTGACCTGGGGTCGAGGGCGGCCAAAACTGCAAATCCGCCACTGACTTAACTAATTGAGTTTTCGTCGAGTCACCGACACTCATGATTATTCGACTAAAATACGCGAGCCGATTCATATTTCACTGTCTAATTTTCGTGACAATTTTTATTGTTTAATATTCGAGTATGGTACTAACTATAATATTAAAAATATTAATATTTAATAGTTCACGATTATATACTCGAATACTTAAATAGTAAAAATTGCCACGGTATTTAGACAGAGAACACTACCTACTACTACACTCGACAAAAGACCTTTGACATTATTTATGCATGTCTTTTGTGTCATTTGCAGTTGAATAATAAAGGGTATTCCAATAAGGACATAACTATTTTGTATTTCAATAAAACACAGAATGACAATTTATTGTAATAATTTGACGGCCTACGTGGTCGAGTGGCTTGCACACCAGTTTTCATGGTGTCGCCACCTATGAGGTCGCGGGTTCGATCCCCGGACTGGTCAGTGTAGAAACTAACTTTTTTATATTATCTCGGGGTCTGGGAGTGTGTGGTACCGTCGTTGTTTCTGATTTCCATAATACAAGTGCTTTAGCTACTTTGGGATCAGAGCGCCGATAGTGTCTAATGTTTATTTACTTATTTATTGTGATATCGATTTGAAATTTATACCAGGTGCAGTACACATGTTACATTTAAGAATGGAATTCGTTTTCGTTCATATGACCACCGCGAGAACGTTTGCAGGTTTCTCTGGAGCCAATTTTCCACCGTATATCGTCAGAAACGTTGGCAATTCCGCGTTTGATATGAAAGCGTGCATATGAACGAGTTCGAATTCCATTGTTAAATGTATAGCCTGTTCCAATCCGTTGTGCCAAAAAAGTAAACAAACAGTTCATTGACCCGACCATAGACAGTTTAGTAATGGCCAACTGTACTGCCAACTACAAATCGATTAATTAATTGAATGAATAGATTTGTTTAATTGAATCAGTTGGTATAACTGAATGAGATTAGTGTTTTTTTTTCTTATAAAACATGTATATAACCTATAAAAGCAAGCAAACTTAAAATTTCCGAAATCTAATTTTAAATCCTACCTTAAATCCTTACACGTAGATATTAGTTCGGTTGTTATTAAATTTTCAATTCACTAATCGATTACAAAATCTTTAATTGAATGAAACAAACGAGTGATTTTCGTACAACCCTATGCAACCATAGATTATTCACAAATCTATTGAAGTAACATTTTTGAAATAATATTTTATTATTTTATTCAAATGAATATTGCTGGAAAAAGTGATGGGATATCAAGTCAAAATCTTTAAAATATACGTGAAAGTGTTACGTCAAGTAACACCCATTTATTGAGTGACTGCTTTATAATTTTAACCAAAGCGGTTTGTCTACTTTTCTGGTTTGAACTGACGACTCTAACATGTTTACTACGTCTGCAATAAATTTGCTCGATATCACAACTATTCTGCGTTTTATTGAAATACAAAATCGTTGTCCCTATTAGCCGATATATAGATGTGATTATTTTGACAGCATAAAAGTAATAATTTTGATAGGTTGACTACCCTTTTATTTAAAAAAATCTATTTTTGAGTCAAGCCGTTAAGAAGGTTATTACATTTTCCGCGGTAAAATATTTTCGGGACCACGTAGTTAAAATTAAACTCGTATTTACATCAATTTTTTACTGCTCATCGCGTAAGTGTTGGTTATGTGGTCAAACACGTTTCAATTGTCGCAAAAAAAAACGCATCTGGTTGCGTGTGACCGAGAAAAACGCGTAGTTGAGATGTGTTTATTTGTAATACATTTTCCTTACACTTGGGACTTTCTTTCCAGGGTAGAAGCTACAATAGTGTGCTTTGTTATCGGGCTCCTTCTGAAAAGTTGTATCTCCAGATAAATAGCATTTATTTAATTTAAGGTCCAGGTCTTCTTTAAATGGTATTAATTATCTATAATAATCTTATATTCTTTTACTGTTAATGTAGTCAGAAATAAATTTTAACTTAATTGAAGAACATAATCTTGGAAAGATCGATGTATAGTTGGATATTTTACTAGAGATATAGAACTGGGGTGTAGTGGGTGGCTAATTTTTTATGAAATAACATAGTTTTGTGGCAAAGGATGTAGCACGTTATCAAGGTAAATTGAAACGAAAATGATTTATTTTAGAAAATTAAAGACGTATTTAGAAATAAAATTGTTCTTAATTATCGAGAATTTTTAACTACACTTTTTTTTTCTTAAAAAATTGAACTGAAGTAATGTAAGCATCACTGCGTTCCAGTTTGGAAGGGTAAGGGTGCTGGTGAAATTACAGGCACATGGGACTTGTTAACTTATGTCTCAGGGTGACGGGCGCGTGGCAGAAGATCTTTAATAGAGATCTTTGCAATTTAAAGCTCTGAATGGCACTGCAACTGTTATGAACAGGCGTGTCGCTTACCACCAGGCGAACGACTTGTTCCTACCGTCACTTGGCCTTATACAAAATAGAAAATAAACCACTACTATTATAATGATATTATCATTAATTAAAAATCCGACTA